GATGCAGGTGTTTTTTTCCCTGTAGGTTTTTTAAATTAAAAAAGTATACAGTTTTCATAATGTTTAGTGAAATTATGAAAGATTATGGTAGTCTGAGGTGGGATGGGGGGCAGATTTTTTTTTTTATAGGTTTAAAGGGGGGCGCGACCAAAAAAGTTTGAGGCCTTTGAAAGTGAAGAAAAGAGGGAAACTCGAACAAACTAACACCCCCCCCACTCCAACCCCAACGGTGATACCGGAGTTGTCACATGTCGATTAACCGGTGGGAAAATTTCCTCACCGTCACAACCCTAATATCCTTAGATGACCTACATTCATGTCTTTGGTTTAAGTGCACTAATTTCACAGGCTAGCGAACAGACAGAAACTCCCAACTAGGAGTCTCTGTGTCTGGACTCAAGCAGGCCAGCAACAAACATGTGTGGGCATCTCAGAGAAGTGTCAGCAAATTGTTATCAGTATCAGTGATATTTTATTTATATCATCAATTATATTATGTTGGTGATAACGTATATTGATATAATAGTAGTAATAATAATAATTTATAATTGAATTTTCCCAGTTGTAACTGAAACATTTATTGGTCACCGACATAATTAGGGCTGCACGATAAATCGCATGCAATATTTAACGCGCATCTTATCAGTAAAGCCGGTTCTGTAATCAGCAGTAAATGTCTACAGAGAACTACACAGAGCCGTTGTTCACTGACGAGCTGCGCAAAACCATGTTCATATTCGCGCGATTTTTTGCGCAGCTCGTCAGTGAACAACAGCTCTGTGTAGTTAATTCTGCTCAATGTGAAAGCACGCACGTGATGGAGATTTACCGCTGATTACAGAACCGGCTTTCTGACAAGATGCGCATTAAATATCGCATGCGATTTATCGTGCAGTCCTAGACATAATCATGCTTTGTAATCAACAAACAGTTTTATCTTAAAGATGTTGCATACCTTTATTGCACATTTTTTGTAACCTCATAGTACAGTTTTATGGAAAAAAAGCTCCATACTATTTGCAATTTGGCTTAATCTTGAAAACGGAAAATATTATTTACTGAAAACATTCTGGAAGGGCAAAGGGGGAAAATAGTATATTTGCTTGCAATCATTTTGTGTATAAATGTGTGTAAATAAATGAATGCCTGTGTGTTTTTGCAGCTGTGTGAAGTGGAGCACAGGATGCAGAGTTAACACCACCCTGTGTCTCGCAGAAGAAGCCCTGCTGCCAGACCCTCAGTAGTAGACACATGGCGGCATTGGGGGTAAGTGAATCGATTCCTTTTGCGCTGCACAATGTTTAATCTGACTTAAAAGCAATAGTTTAAAAAAAAATGTACTCACCCTCAGGGCATCCAAGATGTAGATGAGTTGAACTGATTGAACAAATTTGGAGAAATGTAGCATTACATCACTTGCTCCCCAATGGATCTTCTGCAGTGAATGGGTGCCGTCGGAATGAGAGTCTAAACTGATAAAAACATCACAATAATCCACACAACTCCAGTCCGTTGATCAACATCTTGTGAAGTGAAAAGCTGCTTGTTTGTAATAAACATCCATTATTAAGATGTTTTAACTTAAAATGGCCACTTCTGGCAAAAATACCATAAAATGTGTTATATCTGTCCATAATTCATAATAATGCTTCCTCCAGTGAAAAAGTCCATCGCCTGCTGTTCCTCTCACATCAAAATCCACCAATTTAGAACTGTTTTTATTTGTAAACTGTGCTTGATCTGTTTCATTCCATTTCACTTCTGATTCATGCAAGATGACTTTTTCACTGGAAAAAGAAGTAAATAGACGTAATTTAATGGATAGACTTGTATTTTAGCCAGAAGCATGGTTTGAAGTTAAAAAATATCTTGATGGATTTTATGTATTACAAAGATGCAGGTTTTCACTTCACTGGAGTTGTGTGGATTACTTCAAAGATATTCAAAGATTATAATCTTGTATATTCTGAAATTTAAGTCTTTATTTCCTTAATAATCATCTCCTCTGCCAGAGCTCACAAACTACATTTGTGCTTGTTTAAATAAAAAATTGTGTCGTCATACCTTTTAAGAGTATGTTTATGCTAAGCATGTTATTGACTAAAAATTGTATTGTGACATCTGTTGTGTGACATCCATGGCCCTTGTGTAATGTGTTCTTAATACTTGGATTTGACTTTTTTTTCTGAATAATGCATTGACTTATGGGTAAATTAATGGCTTTGAAACTGCAACTTTTATTGAAGCCCACTAATGTGAGAGTGTAATATTCACTGCAGCCCGTGGCAGTTCTCTGTCCTCATTTAACACTGCACTACACTGATTATGTTATTGCAACATGGCTGGTGGCTGAATTCATGACTGAGGTTTGAAAATCTTTTATGAGGAAGTGTCATCACATAAAACACCTGTGGTCATGCCTAACTGAACACATTTAGCCTACCTAAAACGGCTCGCTCTAACACGCACCCACATGTCTACGTCACGATGTGGGAAGATTTGCATAACGCCGCCCAAATGTTCACTCAAAGAAAGAAGGCGTAACTTTTATTCTTGCTGAAGTATTGTTGTTGCCGCCGGTTCCATGTCGTGAAGGTGCTGTGTTTCGTTGTGAAAGCGAAACTACTTTGTTTGGCCTTCCAAAAGAGGATGATATCCGCTTCGTCATGCCTAGAGCTGATCCGTGCTGGTCGCTGAGGGAATACATCAACTTCGCGCTGTGGATCGCCGGATCGGCTTTCACCGTGGCCGAAGCGGAGTCCAGCCGGGGGTCGTCACATGTGGTTGCCGCAAGCCAGCCGGACGCTCCTTCATCGAATCCGCCGGCCGCGCCGTTCTCAAGCCCGCCCGCCTGCCTCTGCTCACTCTAGCCAGCCTCCGCATACTCTAGGCCGCTGTGTGTTTCGTTGTTAAAGCTAAACTACTTTGTTTGGCCTTCCAAAAGAGGACACGACTAGAAATCAGTGGTTAAGTTGTATTTACAACACTGTTCCAGAACACTTCAACCCAAATATTCAAATGTGTCCAGCGCATTTTATGGAGGACTGTTTCCTGATCCTGGTAGAGTTGACCACTATGTTCTACAACTGTTCTGACTCACAGACTGTAAGTACGTTTTTTTATATTTACAGAATTTGCCACTGACGATTCAAACGCGAGTTTTGGGCAGTGTAGAGTAGGGCTTGTTGTTTGTCATTTCTCCGATCACAAATGCAGACATGGTTTTGTTTACGCGGTGCAATGCAACGCAATGCGTAAAAAGACAGTATAAGTCATTATAATCCGTAATTATGTCCCCCCTGGAGGCAACGAATGCCTCGTTTATAATGGGTTTTCATGTTTTTGTCTCGTCGCTCCGGCTGGACAGGACATCACAATATGGTAAGGGGCGTAACATTTCCGTCACACGCTTGAGGTATTCGGCCAATCACAACGCACTGGATAGCTGGCCAATCAGAGCACACCTCGCTTTTCAGACTGATGAGCTTTGTAAAAATCTACGCGTTTCAGAAAGGCGGGGCATAGAGGAGAAACAATAATGTACAGTATGTGGAAAATAATGTGTTTTTTGAACCTTAAACCGCATAAACACATTTCATTACACCAAATACACAAAATAATTTTCTTTTTAGCAACATCATATGACCCCTTTAATATGGATATCAAAATTGATTCATATATTAAAACAGGGATTTCAGACAATCTCTGATCATTCACCACAAAATTTTAATGGATGATATTGTGCAAATTCCCACTTGATTCTAACACATTTTTTTCTTAAAAGCTGAATCAAAAATATCGAAGCAACATTGATCTAATTATTTTCTTTCCAGAGGGCCACTGGAGTGGTGAATAATCTGTTTAATCTGTATTGAATATGAGCAGCATGTGTCCTGGCACGGATTGTACTTCAGTTGATAGCATGTCTGGTCAATATAGTCGTCTGGCTGCTTCACACTGGACATCTCTAAACAAACAACATACTTTGTCTTAAAAGTGGAGACTAGGATTTAGCCAAACGAAAAAACATGACTTTACATAAAACATTAAAACACTTGTTTTTGACCTTTGTTTTGATGTAATGGGTGAAGGCAAGCTAATGGTTGGGTTATAGGGTTGACCCCAGTTACCTATGAGATCACTCTCCTGACCCCTGATTGTTCAGCCTGACTTTTGGATTGTGGATTTGTGTGTTGTGAAATGCTTTTAACCTGTCTTTTTCCTTTCTTTCTCTCTCATCCAGAACCCCGAGATGTTAACCAGGAAGATTAAACTGTGGGACATCAATGCCCACATCACCTGTCGTCTGTGTGAGGGGTACCTGATCGACGCCACCACAGTCACTGAGTGCTTACACACCTGTAAGTGTCATTGCTACACCAATGTCTAGTCTTTCAGTTATGAACAACATTTTGAATCTATATTGTCTATAGATATATATTGTGTGGAGAAGTGGTGCTTTACCCAAAAATTAAAATTTGACTTACATTCACCTTTAAGACTCTTCTGTGGACCATAAATGGTGAAGTTAAAGGGGTCATATGATGCGATTTCAATTTTTCCTTTCTCTTTGAAGTGTTACAAGCTCTTGGTGCATAAAGAAGATCTGTAAAGTTGCAAAGACTAAAGTCTCAAATCCAAAGAGAAATTCTTTATAAAAGTTCAAGTTAATTTTATTTCTAGAGCACATATACAACAGCCACCAGGCTGACCAAAGTGCTTTCCAGAAGAGCAACAATTTTACCACATACACAGAGAACAAACCAGACAAAAATTTAAAACCGCACGTTTAAAAATGACCATATCACAGTAGTCAATACACTAAGGAAAACAAACAAGTTTTAAGCGAGGACTTAAAAACAGACAAAAGAAGGGGCCATTCTAATCTCTAAAGGTAGGGTATTCCAGAGTCGTGGCCCTGCCACCGCAAATGCACGCTCCCCTCTACGCTTAAGCCTGACGTGAGGGACCACCAACAAGTACTGGTCACATGATCGTAGGCTTCTAGATGGAGTATAGAAGTAAAGAAGGTCAGATAGATAGACAGGAGCTTGGTTATGTAGGGATTTATATACAAAGAGGATAATTTTAAAGTCTATTCTCTGACAAACCGGCAACCAGTGTAGAGATCTAAGAATTGGAGTGATGTGTTCATGTTTACGACACTTTAAAAGAAGTCTGGCTGCAGCATTTTGGACAAGCTGAAGACGCGCAATCTGAGATTTAGATATACCGCAATATAAAGAATTGCAGTAATCTAGACGAGACGTAACGAACGCATGAACAGCCATTTCTAGAGTTTTAGGAGTGAGAAAGTTTTTAATTTTAGACAGTAAACGAAGCTGATAAAAACTGGACCCAATGACAGAAGAGATGCGTTTATCAAATTTTAAATGCTGGTCGACTAGAATACCTAGGTTCCGCACCCGCGAGGATCTAAAAACGGATAAACTTTCTAACTCGGGGCTTATACACTGAGAGTTATCATTTGGACCGAAACAATTACCTCGGTCTCGTCTTCATTTAGGTAGAGGAAATTTTGGGCTAGCCATGATTTAACCTCCTCTAAACATTTCAGAAGAGAAGTAATCGCAGTGGAATTGTTTTTCTTGATTGGTAGATAGATTTGAGTGTCATCTGCGTAGAAATGAAAAGACACACCATGTTTTCTTAGAATAGAGCCCAGAGGTAACATGTAAAGAGAGAGCTAAAATAGAGCCTTGTGGAACACCACAGGTCAGAGGTGCAGGGGAAGAGGTAAAATTACCCAGCTTCACTAAAAACTTTCTGTCAGACAGGTATGACTGAAACCATTTCAGAACGTTTGCTTTTAGACCTACCCAAGACTCTAATCTAGATAATAGTGAGGAGTGGTCTATGGTATCAAAAGCAGCCGATAAATCTAAAAGAATAAGAACCACCGAGTCTCCAGAATCAGTAGAGAGGTAAATATAATTTAACACTCTCAAAAGGGCGGACTCAGTGCTGTGAGCAGA